GTCTGTACTTCTGAAGAAGCACAAACCACAACAATAACAACGAGGGGTGAGAAATCACAATAAAAAATATAACTGTGATAATGTACATGAATAAAGGCAGAAACATATAAACAATCATTTCACATACATCAAATCCGGACCTACTGTCCCACGCCAACACAACACACATAACAATGCAACATATGCAGCTCGACACAATGATATGCGGTACCGACTCAAACTCAGGATAGATCACTTACACTTCATCTGAGACATGATATATCCCTACCACACTCCTCCTGAGCCCATATAATCAATTTCAGGATAGATCGCTTATGCTCCATCCGAGACACGATCTATCCCTACTACGCTCCCCATTTGGAGCACGAGCGAATCACTTACGCTCCACCCGAGACATGATTCAACCCGTCCACATGCTATGCAAGACACCAATGCACACAACAAATACAAGCACCCACGGTGCACACGATCCTACTGATCCATTTCATCATATATCACATATACTTATATTTATATGCATATATTCCACACATCGCCACATACATGCACCATAACATACACCAATTCAAATATCATACTCACACGAATGTCACGGAATTCACGTTCCGACACCATACATATGCTCACCTCAGCTCACTAACAAGCTCATCATCAAACATGACCAACAAGGGTCTAAAACCACAAAGGAATCAAAACAGAACAACAGCAAAACACAAACTGCTGTCGGGCTCGCTGGCACAATCGCCTTGTGAAACCCCGTAGTGAATACTCGCTGGAGCTTGCCCAACGAAACCCCTGGTGAAGCCAGACAGTGGCTACTAGCAGCACTCGCTGCCCAGTTCGCCTGGCGAAGGCTCGGCCCCTCATTCGCCCAGCGAATACCTGCGATTTCAGAAAAATAATACCATTGCTCAGAGTCGGCGGAACGCTCCGAAATCAGCCGATTCTATTCCAAACTAAACCCCATCATACCAGACCAATATTCTACCACCTATCTACAACATCTATCCTCGATTTATCCCGATTAATTTCCAGCTCTACACGTTTACTCAGTTTCGGCATAAACTTCGAACTACCCGGAAACCCCCAAATCAATCAAACAGCACATGCAATTGATGAATCATCTCAGCAGCAATCAAAATCGCAACAACATATCAATTTGATTCATCAAAAGCCTATGGGGTTAGGGAAACCCCCTTCTACCAATTATTCATTCATTACCAAAATTTAACCGATTCTCCCCCCTCCTTACCTCAAATGCAGCTCGGATCGAAGTAGAACTTCCAAAACCTGGTTGCTTAGACCTTCTCCTTCCTCTTGATCGTCTCTCAAGCTTGCTCTTCACTTGCTAGACCGTGTTCTTCTTCCTTTTCCTCTCACAATCGTGTTCCTCCTCTTTCTAATTCTTCCAAATGCCACTATTGCCCTTAATACCCCAAAATAACTCCAATTAATATAAATCCTCCTTTTCTTTTTAATTTTCAAAACATTAATAATATTTCCTCATTTTCTTAATTCCAAATTAATATTAAAACCTCATAATAATAATAATAATAATAATATCCACATTAATATTAATTATTAATTATTATCATTATCGATTATATAATATTAATACTATGCTCCTTATTTCCTCAACAACTTTCCATACAACGCTTGCTGAAAAATGGAATAATACTGGAAAAACGAGATAATTAAAATGGGCGTTACACTGTGACCAGATCAACAGGAGGTGGCACATGTGCATCCCGCCACCTGCAGAAGGATGTGGGAAGTGACGCGTCAGCTGGTGCATCCTGTGGTCTGCAGGAAGAAGATGAAGAAGGTGGAGTGGGATGAGATGCAGATGGAGTGGCCTGAGATGTAAATGGAGTGGCCTGAGGTGAAAGTTGAACCCTAGGAATGGACTGAGCCTCTAGAGTAGGCTGTACATCAGCAATCGACATCTTTCCCTGATTAAAGGTACCTGCTGCATCCATACTCGACTAACTTCGCTCTCGTCTAATGGATGCATGTTGGGAAACCCGTCCATGCCTTAATCAATCGGTTTTGCCAGCCATTATGCTTGCAACGTATAATATAATTAACCGTATAATGAGTTTACGCAATAAGAAAAATTATAAAACAAAAAGAAGAAAAAACAGACTGAGAAATTCTAGAGATACATCTCTGAAAAAATTCAATGTCTCATGTACTCTGTGTGGCTCTGGAGATACAACTACGGAAATAATCCGCAGATGTATGTCGTAAATCACCTAGAGCACATGAGACGTTGAATTTTTTCGGAAATGTATCTCTGAAACATTCTGCAACTCAGAGGTCGTGCCAATGGCGTCCTATGCGCCTTAGAATGACAAATTTGAAGCTCTGGTCGTCCATTTGAGCCAACAAACAACACTTTTTCATTTGATTTCTAAACATTTCGACACCTAATAATGGATTCTAACTCGTTTACAACAAAACTCAAATATTTATCTGAAACTCGAAAAACATAACTGAATTATATGATTCAGAAGATGTTGAATGATGCACTAAATGCAGCTTGATGATTACTTGAGCGTCGGACGAAAGAAATTAAATTTGGTGAAGTTTGAGAAATTTGGGAATGAGAGAGATGAAGAGGTTTATGAATGAAAATGAAAAAGTGTGGGAAGAGAAGTGTCTGATGCGATAATATGTTCCAAATTGTTCCGGAGATATATCTCTGAAAGATTTCAATGTTTAATTGAGCTTTGGTGTGTCGGGAGATATATCTCCGGAATATCTTAACATTTAGTTAAATTATGGTGCGTCCGAAGATATATCTTCGAAAATAAGGAGAATTATAGGAAATCTACACGGTGTCTAAGAAGCCCATGAGGTGCCTTAAGAAATTCTCTTAGATAAATAGGCTTATAAAAAAACCGTAGACATTTTCTATTTAAGAAAAATTCTGGTATGGTCTAGGTCTATATAAGCTAGGTCCTATACCTCTATTAGTTGTTCTGCCTTATTATCACTTCTTAGGAGGAGCGAAAAAGCAACTTTATTGGGCCATTATATATCTTGTCAACTAGGAATCTTCTTGCCACTTTCTAAATTTTACTTGGCATCGTTACAACTCTATCATATGCTTTTACCATAATACTCTGTGTGATTTTTTATGTTTTTGAAAATTTATGTGTTTCCAAATTTTTGAATTTTTCAGGTTTTATTGAATTTTTGAAGAATTTCACGAGTTTTTATCAAAATTTTCAAACAGCTATGAGTTTTTATCTGATTTTTTTCAAGTACAGTACCGAATATTTACAAAATGTGTTTTTAATGTATTTTTCAAAAAAATAATTGGTATTGTATCAGATTTTTTTGAAAAATCTAATAATATTAAATTCAGTCTTTTTTTGTCTATCAAAATGAAATATCGGATTTAAAAAAAAAAATCAAAAAAATTACAAAACGCACGGAACTTTTCGAATTGTGCTACCAGATTTTTTTCCCACTCTTTTTAGTTAATTTTGATGATGTAGTTTTACAATTATAAAAATAAGAGATGGCAGATATAAAATGAGAGATGACAAGAATATTCCTCCTTATGGAACCCAAGGCAAAAACAATTATCAACACACTATTTAAATCTACATTTTTTTATAACAACTATTTAATTGATTAAAATTTAGGTAGCTCCCACATAGTTTAGTGGAATTCATGTAAGTGTTTACTAATTAAAAAATGGTCTATTAAAACTATGTGTTGTTACCACTCATTATAGTCATTATATATTATGAAATATTTACTTTTATTAAATATATATTTTTTGTTTTATAATCTCTCTGTTATCTAAATACAATATTTGTTTTCCAAATTTATTCAAAATTCATTGTTAATATTTAATTTATATATGTTTTTTTATATAAATTTGAATTTAAACTTTAAAAAAAAATGTTCAACTAAATTATTTAGCTTTCGAATTCTTTAAAATTAAAAAGTATATTTGAATTTTGATTTATATTTAAAAAATAATTGAGTTGTGATGAATTAATTTATCTATAAAAAATTTGATTAATAGGTAGTTAGAGAACTTTAAGGACGTTCATATGCATTCGTGTGAGTGTTTATCGGAATAGATCTTATTTAAGAATCTGAGTAATATTATTCCCTTGTGTTGACTCAGTACTGTTACGGTAACCCTAACCCTAGTCCTTCTCCTTCACTTGATTCTCCTAAACATGCAATACTTCCCCTCTTGATTATTTTTTATTCTTTATTTTCCGATTAAGTTAATGCTTTTTTTTGTTGTAGCAATCATATTCGAAAGATTATTGGGTGCTTTTCTTCCAATCACCAGCTTTACATGGTAATATATGAAAATCCTCTTCTCAATACCATATGCATTCCATAAATTAGGGTATCCGAGTTATTCCCTTGTGTTACGGTAACCCGAACTCTAATCCTTTTGGATCATTTGATTTCTCCTAAACATGCCATGCATCTTCTCTTAATTATTTTTTGTTCTTTTATTTTCAATTAAGTTAATGGTTTTTTTGTTATAGCAATCATATTCAAAAGATTATTGAGTGCTCTTTTTCAAACTATTCAGTAGCTTCACATGGTAATTTATGAAAGTCTCCCTCCGAATACAATACTCATTCTATGAATGAGTTTTAATCAGGGCCGTTTTTGACGTACAAAACGGACTACCGCACAGAACCTCAAACTTGTGGCTAAATAGGACCATACAAAAAAAATTATATTGGTTATATAATGGTTGAATAGGACCTTTATTTAATTTTTTGTGATTAAGACGGCTCTGATTCTGATTTTAATATACGTAACCATCTTTGTACTATAACCATACATTTTATAATCTTTGTTTTCTACCTATAATTCATATATGCCTACATATATTCATATGTATATAAATCTTTGTTTTCTGATTCTTGTGTGCACCTTTGTTTGAATATGAATATATCTATCTAAAGGGAACAAATCAAACAAAGTCTGCTCCCCAAATTGCGAATGATATGGAGCCGGATCGTCTTAGTTGGTTACCAGATCATGTAATAGACAACATCCTTTCATACTTGCCAATTACAGATGCCGTGGGGACAAGTGTTTTATCTAGCAAATGGAATAAGAAATGGCACACACTACCCAGTCTTGTATTTGATACTAAATGTGCCGAAATTACACCTTCTCAAGACAGTAAATTTTCAATAACGAAGTTTTCAAAAACTGTTGATCATGTCCTTTTACTTCATTCTGGGCCACTTATCAAGTTCAAGATCTGCAACTACAATAGAAAACTCATTTATGTGATTCCTACGACTGATATTGATAGATGGATTTTTCATCTAATGGGAAGGTCTATTCAAACGCTTGTGCTACAACTTCAGCTACAAGAACGCTATAAGATACCTTTTGGTTTATTCTCATGTCAAAGCTTACGAGATTTAAGTTTATATTGTTGTTGCCTTAAACTTCCCACAAAGTTTGAAGGTTTCAAGAACTTGAAAAGGCTTGAGCTGTGTCAAGTTACTATAACCCAAGATGCTTTTGAGAATTTGATATCTCGCTGCCCTCTACTTGAAAGTTTGATGTTAGCAGAGATTTACAGCATCTCTCTGATTAATATTCATGCACCAAATCTTAAAGATTTTGACATTTCAATTAGCTTTGAAGATATTAGCTTTGAAGACACTTTTCAATTAATTGAGGTATACGTCGATTTAAGTTTGTATTTGAATTCAGCAAGAAATCGTAGATTGCATGGACGCTCTAGCAATTTGCTCAAATTTTTCGACCGACAACCTCACATACGGAGCCTAGCAATTCATAATTATTTCTTAAAGGTATAATTCACGAATATCTCATTAATGTTGAGTTTGATTGTAGAAGTGACTCACCTAATGCTTGTTTAGGTCACCCCTACAAATTTCTGATTTATAACCATTGTATTTTTCCAGTATTTGGCTGCAGGTGTTGTTCCGACAAAGCTTCCTACTCCTTGTATTGAACTAGGATGTCTTTCTTTATGCATAAATTTTGACGACTTGAAGGAAATTTCGGCTGCTCTTTGCTTGCTCAGAAGCACACCTAATCTTCGAACATTATACATTTCTGTAAGTACTAGTTTAGATTTGTTTGGCTTTGCTTTGCTTCCTGATTACAGGGTGCACTTGCGCATTTTAGTTTTGTTTTAAGTAACTGTTAAGTTATAGGATTTGCAAACAATTTTTGTCTGGTGTTTACTAAAAACTTACTTTATTTAAATTCAAAACTAAGTTTTTGTTAATAAAGAATTCGATATTTGCAAACAATCTTTTATGAATCAACAGTGTTACCTTGAGAGTTTTAATATGCTCTATATCTCTCTTATGCATACTATATGTCCCCCTTTGATCCATGGATTTATAAAATTGCATGTAGGCACGAAATGAACTGCATGATGTCCCTTGGACACCTGTCACTGACGCCTATCGTTGGGAAGAAATATTTTCGAAGCCAGAAACATCCATCCAAGTGCAGAATGTGGTAATGCATAATATCTCTGGCTTCCAACTTGAACTAGATTTTATCAGATTTTTACTTCTCTATTCGCCTGAGCTAGAAGCAATGGATGTGAATGCTGTTGTAAATGTAAGACCGGAGTTGGTTACAGAATTAATTCGGTTTAAAAGAGCGTCAGCAAATGCTGAAGTTATCTACAATTTGGAAGACACTTCATAATGATCAATCATCTTTCTTTTTGAATGGCAACTTTTAGGTTATAATGACTAATGTTAAGTAGAAAATTATGAGTGATTAACACTACAGTATTTTTGATTTTTAAAAAATATTCTCAATGTGAAATTATTTGGTTTTCTTCAAACCCTTTCCCGTCTTTGAGTATATAAAGTACTGCTAAGTTGTATGCTCCTGCTATTTTTATTAGAATTCACTTTGTATTTTCTATTTTCAAGCTTCCCTTGGAATTCACTCTATACTACGAAGTTGAATCTGAACTTGAGTGGAAATTGAAAAGGAAGTTTGGAAAATTAAAAGAATTTGAGTAGAATCCAAACCATAATATAGACACTTATTTTAGAGAGATAAGATATGACTTTCCTCTAGATTGTTCTCTTCTCTCTAGAGTTAAGGGTGTTCTAATCCGCTATGTTGCAATTAAAATATATATATATATATATATATATATATATATATATATATATATATATATATATATATATATATATATATATATATATATATATATATATATATATATATATATTACTATTTAATTTTTAAAGTCTATCATCCAAAATTTTGAAGTTTCATTTTTCTGAAAATTTTGTAATGCATTCTATATATTATTTACGCACCACGTGAAAATACTAAATTACCCTTCTGATTCTTGAGATGCATCTCCGAATACATCATGCACCAACGATATAGTGCACCAAATGAGCGACACCTTAAATGAATACTAAATAATTTCAGAGATACATCTTCAGAATTTTCAACAAATATTATGATAGTTTATTTTATAAGCAATATTTTGATAGTTGATTAGCCAAGTGGTTATTTCTGGAGACCTTTACATGTCAAATATTTTTGGAAATGCATCTCTGAAATAATTTTATAAAACACAGAGTTGCATTATCACACAACCATACTTATTTTTTACTCATAACCCTCACCAAAAATCCTTTCATTCTCAATCAATATTTTCACTTCAAATCTTCAATCTTGTGTTTCATCACATCAAAGGGAACAAGATAAGTTAAAATTCTAGGTAAAGATCATTTATTTCAAGCCTCATTGCTCACATTAATCATGTTTTCTATCTGAAAAACTAGCATTTATTCCGGAGATACATTTCCAGAACGAGTACGAACTTACCTGAAAAATGAATTTCTGGTAACTGTTTGTGTTCATTTTTTCAACTCTGTTTACATCATTATCACTTATTTACTGTTATATGGTAATTTTTTTCATTATATATGGTGTAACTCGATGTTTTCTCCAAATAAGTTGTGTCTCCCACTGTTAAAGGCGTTGTTCTGAAGACAGTAGATGTTGGCAACCAATTTAAAATTGAGCAAGAGTTTGAATCTCATGATCACATGCTCCAATGGATTCATACGGAGGGCTCCAAATTTGGATTTAATGTGGTTATCGGAAGGTCCGATAATGACTTAGATAGAAGATGTGCTTTTGTGACAATGATGTGCGAAAGAAGCAGCAAAAATAGACCTCCTATCTGGAATTTTAAACAAGACGACACCGGCTCAAGAGAATGTGATTGTCTGTTTAAGGTGGGTGGTTATATGTTGGCAAACAATAATTGGAGATTTAATGTCATATGTGGTTTGCATAACCATGATTTGTGTGAATAGTTAGGCAGTCAACCAATTGTGTGTCGCCTCATACTGGAAGAGAATGAATGTGTTGCTGACAGGACATTGAATTTGGTTCAACCGAAAAAATATACTTGCAACATTGAAACATAAAAGATTGTAAAATATCTCAAATGTTAAGCAAGTGTACAATATTCGGTACCAAACTAACAAGGCGCTTAGGGGGGATAAAACTGAAAAGCAATAACTCTTGAAACTGTTTGGATGATAACAGTTATGTGTCTAGGTATCGAACATGCGAGGATGGAGTTATCGTTATAGATATATTTTAAACTCATCCTGATGAAATCAAGTTGTTCAAAATGTTTTCCAATGTGTTCATACTTGATTCAACGTACAAAACCAATAAGTATAGACTTCCATTATTGGGGATGGTTGGTGTTACTCTACTGAGAAGACTTATTCTGTAGGGTTTGTATTTCTATAGAGTGAAAAAGAGAAAAATGTTACCTGAGCCTTAGAGGTGTGTTAGGGAATGTTGAAGAATCAAGAAGAGACGCCTATAATGATTGTTACCGACCGTGACACCGTTTTGATGAATTCGGTTGCATAGGTATTTCCTACTTCTTATACATTACTTTGTAGGTATCATATAACAGATAAGGTCTGAAGATGGAAAAATAGTGAAGGCGAGTGTGGTTGTGGAAAAAATAATTGATGCATATGAAATAGAAAAATAATTCTTCTACAAAAGAATTATATGTTGATTCTGTTAGGCATTTCAAAAAAGTGTGCGAAAAATATTTTAATTTGTTGAAATATGTTCAAAGCACAATTCTTGACCAGGTGAACGAGAAAATTGTTTGTGCTTGGAGTGATCAGGTTAGACACCTTGGAAATACAACAACTAACCAAGTTTAGTCTGCCCATGCCACATTGAAGAATTGGTTGGGACATAGTAAAAGAGATTGTTGTAGAGATTGAGACTTCGTGAACCAAATAATTCAAAACCAGTATAATGAGATACATACATCATTTGGTTGGATCATCACAATTTTGGAACACAAATTTAAAGACAAAAAACTTTATTCTCAGTTGGTCGACAACATATCTCGAGCGGGTTTGAATTATAATTTTCATGAGGCTAAACGATTTGATAATGTAGGCTCCTATAGTGCAAAGTCTGGATGTCAAATTGTGAAATCATATGGTCTCCCATGTGTTTGTATTACTATAAAAAAGATGAAAACGGTAGCGTGTTAAGAATGGATGAGGTTTGCACTCATTGGAAGAGGCTTAGGCTCGATGATGATGATGTTATGAAAGAGGGTAAATCGAATATCTGTATATTGATTGAATGGGAAGTGATACAAGTGATATTTTTTAAAGTGGATGAAAATATGAAACTACACATCAAAGAACAATTGAGGAAAATTTCTTATCTGGAAATCGTCGACTTGAAACCACCCTCTCAACACTAAAAACAACATGTGATCAGAAGAAGCTAAAGTTTACACTGAGTGACAACTTTGACTTCAAATTGAGAGGAAGATGACGATGAGCGTCATACGCTAAAATTTTCCCCACCTTAGTTCTTTCATTTGCATCATTTGCATACCATCAATCATTTTTTGTGGGTATCTTACTTTCTTTAATTTCAAGTTAGGGTTTTGCATCAAGAAATTCAAGTGTTTGATCAATCAGAGATTTAGTTTGATCCTCAATATTTCAAGCTCCTCAATGCATGCATAGTGATCAAGATATCCTAGTCAAGTTTAAGTTGACATCAATTCAACTTTATCAAGTTTCAATCCATCATGTGCTCCAAATTAGGGTTTTGGTCAAAATCTGCTTGATGTTAACTTTTTGACCAAAACATGATCTCACGTCTTAGAATGTGATTAAAAGAATTCAAATGTATTATTATGGTCCATTCATGTTATTAAATTGGCTCAAGAAGTTTGATCTATGGATAATTGAAGAATTTTGATTCAATTGATGAAACATCAACATATGCTCAAAGTCAAAGTTTAAATTTTGACATTTTTGGTCAACCATAGACCTCTAAAGTCAAGAGCAATAAAAATATGAAATGTAATTGATTTTATCAAGCTAAATCAATAAAATCAAGAAAATATCAAGAATTGACCAAATTAGGATTTTTTAAAATTTCACTAAGTACAAAAATCATGATCAAATGACCATCTTTTTAAGGTTGTAACTTCTTTCTCAAGCTTCCACTTGAAGCACTTGAGGGATTCATTTAAAGATGAAATTTGTTATTAAAAGTTGGTGAAAATTTTAAGGCAAAAGCTTTCTTGAAGTGGAAGAAATGGATGGCTAAAGTTGAGGTTTCAAGTTGTTGCAAAATTCAAAAGACTTAGAACTTTTTCTAAGTTTTGGACATTTTCACATGCATGACTTTATGGAAAATTTGTTATCAATCTAGAAATACAATGGAAACAATTGAGAACTGAATTTGAATATCATACTTCCTACTTCATCATGGTGGAAAATTTGGTTCAAAAAGCTTTTTCCAATTGAGAGATATGAAGGATCAAAGTTAGGGTTTCATAAGGAAATGAAATGCATGTTGAACCAGAATTTTTTTAAGTATCAAATCAATTTTGATCGACACGAATTTGGAGCCAATTTAGAGAATCTTCCAAGTATTTCATCAGCTTGCAATCAACATGAAACTTTTTCCTTTCCATGTTAGCTTCACATTGATACTAATTTTATGCAAAATACTCCCCTACAATAAGGACAAACTTTCTACCAAACTAATCACTTGGGGATTAACATTTTGGCTTGTGAAATTTGAAACTTGGTCGAAACTTGTTGAACAAGGTTGAACTCTGATGTAACTAACTTCCTAAGACCAAAGCAAATTTTCAAGCCTAACACTGAGAGCTCAAAATAATCATGAAGCCAAGAACCCAAGCCTTTGTGTATATAGCCAAAGTTGTCATTTTTGTGAAAATGGACCATTACAAGACTAACTCCTAACCATGATCTGACCAAGCCTCTATCCAAAACTATTTCAAAGACCTCTCACCATTCCTTGCCTTTCTTTCCATTTTCCTTTACTTAAACACTCCAAACAACTAACCAAGGCTTCTGTGTGCATTAAACTACACCGGAAACACCCCAAACATCATAACCATAACTCACATTTTCATCAATACAAGTTGATTTGGTCAAAACAATCTAGGAGGTTTCAAAGCATTCTAAGCACGTCTTTGCACTCCTGAGAACTCAAGGAAGCTAGGAGAATTATTTTTTGCATTACTAGAAGCACGTTTGGGAAGGCCACGAATTCACCATTTGAGGTACTTTTCTATTTTTCCATTCTCACACTTAAGAACATTATGTGTTGATTGAAAG